TGTGTAAAGTTACTAGAGAGGTAGGATACTAAATCTCAAGACCTATTTTTGAGGAAAACTTATTAATTGCAGGAGTATATAGGTAATGACAGTATAGAAAGGTATACTCAGGGCTGGGGATTTAGCTCTGTGGTGCCACCGCCTGCCTCACAAATGCAAGGTCCTGAGTTCAATCCCCAGTACCAAAAAGAAAGAAAGAAAAAAAGAAAAAGAAAAGAAAGGTATACTCAGAGGCTTAGAAACAGCAGTTGCATCTCTTATGCTTTGATGTAGTTGGAAGCAGGTGTGGTAGCTTGGACCTGTAACCCCAGCACCTGGTGGAAGGCTGAGGCAGAACACCAACCTGGTCACACAGCAAGACCTTGTGTCAAACAAACAAAACAACAAAAAATGGTGGTAAATTTTGTGACTACTCCAAAATGTTCTTATTTTCTTTCTTAAATCACAGTGTATATAAAATATTAACTGTTTCTTTTTAAAAGTTATTTTCTGGGCCGGGGATTTAGTTCATCAGTGGCCTGCCTTGCAAGCGCAAGGACCCAAGTTCAATACCCAGTACCAAAAATAAAAAAATAAAAGTTATTTTCTTATACAGGTTTTTAAAATGTGATTCCAGCATTAAAAGGATGTTTAAAATCTAAAGAATCTGATAAACAATTTATGAAGTGCAGATAAATCTGTAATGTTCTCCAAGCCTTTAAAGACAGTTACATTTAAAAAACAAAACAAAACTTAATAGGCTCCTAGAAGAAAAAGTAAAGAATTATAAATGTTAACAACTAATTGTATAAAAGTTCTTTTAGGAAAAGGATAATATCAAACATTGATAATTTAATAAGTTTCATTTGTTCTTTCTCTTTCTTTTCTTTCTTTTTCTTTTCTTTTCTTTTCTTTTTTTTTTTTAGATGCTGGGATTGAACCAGAGCCTTGTGCATGCAAGGACTAAGCTATACCACCAACCCCAGTGAGTTAGTTTTTTAAAAAGTGAAAGTCAGAGCCGGGCATGGTGGCACATGCCTGTAATCCCAGCACTTGGGAGGCTGAGGCAGGAGGATCACTGTGAGTTCAAGACCAGCCTGGGCTGCATAGTGAGTTCCAGCTCAGTCTCAACTGCATAGTGAGACCTTGTATCAAAGAAACAAAAACAAACAAAAAAACAAAAAGTGAAAGTCAGGCATGTTGGTGCGGGCCTGTAACCCCAGCATTTAGGATACTCAGGCAGGAAGTTTGCCGTGAGTTCAAGGCTAACCTGGGCTACATAGTAAGTTTAAGGCCAGCCTAAACTATGTATATAACAAGATCCTGTCTTTTAAGAGAAAGACTTTTTTTAAAAAATTCCTTGTTTTGTTCTGTAAAATACAGAAAATACTGGATTATCATATTTAGCAGGAGCCATTGACTTTTTAAATGAGATTGAGAACCTTCAAATAGGCCTTTTGTTCAAGTAAATTTCTACCAGTTCTCCATTCTGTATTCTTGTAGTCAGCTGGATATTTCTGCAAGATCTTGTAGGCAGCTGGTCTGTTATATAGCATCTTTCTAGACATTAAGTCTTGGTTTTGCCTTTTTGTCTCATGGATGGCTCAGATACTGCCGTATATCAATTCATATTCCTGGCAACATCCCTTTAAAGTTTCCGCGCTAATTTGGTATATGCAGTTGTGCAGTCTTATGTAACTCAGTGGCCCTTACAGATTATTATGGCTAAAGGCAACAACATTGTCAGTTAAAATTCTTCAATGATATTATAGGCCAAATTCTGGGTGTCTTGTGTCATGGAAACTTTACATCTTTGTTTGGCCAGAACCTTTTCTTCTAGCTTTTTAGCTTTCTCCTTATATTTAAAATATAATGTCAGAAAAAAAATGTATATAATGTCAGGTGCTAACAACAAATTCTGCCAAGAGAACTTTGGACATTCAGTGTACTTCTCAAAATCAGAGTCAGATTTGATGTTTATTGTTTTGAGCATAAATGAACATATTTTTTGGTCCTATTCAAAATACTTAGCAGTGCCAGAGGACGAAGAGGATCTTTAAAACTAGAACCAGACCTGGTTCTAGCCAAACCCTAGCTCCATCAGTTCCTAGCTCTCAGTTACTTAACTTTTCTATTTCTTCATCTATAAGATATGGCTAATGGGTACCTCAACGTGAGGTTGTAAAGAATGAAATGAGAAAACATGTTAATCTGACCGATGCTGCACTTGGTACACAGTAACTTGCAATGCTATTAGTTTTTCTGTTATTCTACTGATAGAAGAAATAAAATGCTGGACTAGAGAGTGGTTTTGGTCAAGTGAGCACTTTATGTTGTTTCTAAATATGCCTTTCAGTTATTATAACGTAAGACATAGTTTGTATTGAACAGCTATTATATGTCAAACTCTATACAAGAAAGATGAGGCCAAGTAAGACATGGTAAAAATATGGAAGCTCCCCTTCCTTGAGTTTATAGCCTAATGGAAAAGACAGCTGAATATTTCAGTAATGAGAGGAAATAATAAGAACAAGAGAGGGGGCCAGTGATTTAGCTCAGCGGTTCAGTGGCCTGCCTTGCAAGCGCAAGGACCCGAGTTCAATCCCCGGTACCAAAAAAAAAAAACCAAAAACAAAAAACCAAAAAACAAGAGAGGAACGGTATCCAATCACACTGTAAGTGTCCAGGGGGAACTCCCAGGGAAACTGATGCTTCAAAGCATGGGCATACAATCAGAAGGAGCAATATTTACAAAAGCCTGGGGGCAAAAGAAAGCATGTTTTGTTCTGGAAAGTGTATATAGAATGGATGGAGAGGATGCACTCAGAAGTTTAGCAGGATGAAGCTGGAGAGAGGTGCGGATCAGATTTTCGCCAGCTGATCTATTTTTGAACAGCCCTATAGTAGCTTGTCTGGCTCCGAAGAAATACTAAGAGCAGTGCTGTAGAAAGTAGTACAGTGTGCTCCACTCTCTCTTGTGTCCCCTAGGCCCTCATCTATGATAGGTGCGCTGCTAATTGTTTGGTTGAAGTAAGTGAATCAGTGTAGTACTTTGGAATTTGCAAAGTTTTTGTATATGTCATATTTGACCTTCAGAAATCGAATGAAGCATTATTTTCATTTTAAATTTGAGGAAATTAATATACTGTTAAGAATTTTGGGGCCAGGGATTTAGCTTAGTGGTTCCAGCACCTGCCTTGTAAGCACAAAGTACTGAGTTTGATCCCTGGTATCAAAAAAGAAAAGAATTTTGATGTGTCTAATGGGCAGATGTGCAGGCAGAAATAGCCTTGTTGTCCATCTCTCAGTTCTTTCATTTACACATAATATTCATAATCAGTTGATATACAATCTGCCTAATCTGAATTTAACATGTAACTTGTTTACGGTGCTCTTAAATTGCATGTTTCAAGGGCCGGGGATTTAGCTCAGTAGCATCACCACATGCCTGACTAGTGCAAGACCCTGAGTTCAATCCCTGGTACTGCAAAAAAAAGGTAAATAAATAAATAATGTTTTAAAACCTGCATGTTTCAAAATCTTAAAAGTGAAGTTGGCTCAAAGTTCTTGAGTGCAGGGATCTTTTCTTGGCTAAATAGAGCATTGGTTTATGTTCATCACAACATAGGCTGATGTGCAGAGTCAAGAGCACCAGTAATTTTTTAAAATGCAATATAACTAATATAATTTGATCACTAAAATTTGCAGGCTGGTCCAAGCTGTATCATTTACTCTAGAATACCTTCTTAAAAGAGTCCTTTTCTGCTATTAAGTTGTGTGTGGATGTGCAGTGTGGTAAAATGGTCTTACAGGCCTGAGTGGCTTTTTACAGCTTTCTGACTGCCACATGTGTGGATGTCACTTGATGTAGCATTGGCTTCAGTTAGATCATTCATTTTTCAGAGGTTCATATTCCTTTCCTGCAGATGAAATTCCTTTTCTTCTACCCGGAACACCATTCTTAACACTTTGTCATATGGGTATCTTCTTACCCTTGTTGTCTTCAGCATACTTACTCTAAGTACTTACTGTTTTTCCTGTAGTGAGAGGTGTTTAGCTCAGGAGGGAACTTTCTGTGTTTCCAGGATTTATCGCTTTTAGAAGTTGGAGGTGTTGTGTTGTTCTTCTGTGAAGAAACACATCACAGCTCCTGGTTATTTTGTTTATAAAGAAACATTTCACTAGTTTTGATAGCATGTTGGATACCATGACTTATTAGAATGAGTGGATGTGTTCAGCATTTGTCTCCCTGCCAAGCAAAGTCTAGACTTTAGTTTCTCCATTAGGGGCTAGTGTGTGTTACACATGGCTCAGAGACATAGGAAATGTTTTTCAGCCTCATCAGGCTCCTCCAGAGCATGTCTAATTGGCTTATAAATTGCTCTGACTAGTAATGAATTAGGAATGACAAAGTAGCCCTTGAAGTATGAAGAGAATAGCCAGACGTGGTGGTGCACACCTGTTAATCCTAGCACTCAGATGGCTGAAGCAGAAGGATTACCAAGTTTAAAACCGGCCGGACTACATAGTGAGACCCGTCATGCTCACTTTGACAGCACATATATATAGTGAGACTCTGTCTTAAAAGAAAAAAAAAAAAAAAAGAAGAGTCTGTGTTATACAAGAAAGATCATAAGTGTTGGATACTATGTGAAGTACATTAAAATTATTTTCCAGATTAATCATGCTGCAGAAATTTGACCAAAATGAAGTTGACCTGCTTAAGATATATATAATGAATAGCAGTTCATCCTTTTGACCAACTTTGGAACTAAAATTCTTAGTTTATATTAGATTTAATATTTTTGAGATTTCTTAAAACTCATCATTGCCAGGTATGGTGGCACACACCTGTAATCCCAGCACTCGGGAGGCCGAGGCAGGAGGATCACTCAGAGTTTGACGCCAGCCTGGGCTACATAGTGAAACCCCACCTCAAAAAAAAAATCATTGATTCTGAGTTTGCTCTCTTCCCCTACTTGTTCCTAATCTTGCTTTTGTATGTGTTCATTCATTTGTAGAGTATAAATGGCATTCGCACAGAGGAGGTGGCTGTCATGACAAAAGGGCCTGCTAACCCTGACTCTGAATGCAAGGGCCCCGAGCAGTCAGTAGTTCCTAGTCAGAGGCTAATGGCCATCCCATCGGAGTCTCCACAGAGCTTTGACTTTGGCTGCCTCTCCATAAGCAGCAAGGAGACAGAAGAGAAGGAGCAGGGGGCAGCTGGCTGTCTTGATATTAAGGAGATGCCGAGAGGCCCAAGTGGGGAATGTGCAGGAGTGGAGGAGGCCAGTACCTTAAAGTTCTCAGTATCACCAGCTTCCGGTCAGCTGCAGCTTGGTGAAAAAAGGGCAGACAGTAGTGAAGAAACTGTTACACCAGGAGAGCCACTTGGAAAACAAAATGGATCGTTTCTTGACTCTCGTGTGGGTAACCAGTACCCCACCCTCATTCGAAGCTTCCAGGTAGTAACTGATTCGATGATGCAGGTCTAATGACTCTCTTTGGGAGAGGGCAGAATCTCTTCTGTGGAGGAGGTGGTGATGGTGGTGAGGGTAGTGATCTCTCTGCTTTTTTCAAAATCACAGAGTAAAATAAAGCCTTTGATTTCTATAAAGAACTTCATTCAAAAGAATTAACTCCATGAGTAGAAATGCTTTCTCCCTGATGACTTAACAAAACTCTTGGGAGTAAAAACTCCAGCTACTTATCTTTGTGAAGCTGATGTAAGTAGTTTCATCTTTTCCTTGCTCAAATATGGGCTGTGGGAAGAGGTGAATTTTAGAGACTTCTATGGTGACCATGTTCGAAAAATTCCAGAACTCTTGACAAAAGGGGCAACTCAACTTTGGATGAGATTTCAGCCCCAAATAGTAATATATGTACTGCAGCCACTTTGGGCAGCCACCACTCCCACTGACCTCACTCCCAGGGCCTTCCCTGATTGCAGGCACTAACTTCTTGTGCTGCGGTAGACAGCCTCTTAATCCTGTCACAATCATACGGTAGTCCGAGGGTTATTCGTCATCCGGGAGAAGGTGAGCGGATGGACAAGAAGGCCTTTAATATTACACTAACGTTCATTCTTCTGAAATTCTGAGGTTAATCACCAGGTGGTGGTAGAACTGATTTTTTTCTTTCCAGTTTTCCCAAATACTATTTCTTGTTAGTAACTCCAAAGTGAGCATCTGACATTGATTTGAAAGAAGTTAATTAATTCCAGGGTAATGCATTCCAGTGCCTCTCTGTTTCATGTACCATTTGTACTTAGAGGAGGAAATGTGGCTGCTTTTCTGAATTATAATGGTACAGCCACAAGGACAAATGAAAGGGATGGCTATTTGGCAAATAGTTTTATATTCAAATTCGGAAGGTCAGTCTGAAGTATTTTATATCACCAGTCATAACTCTGATCTTATAGTTTTCCATTAAGCTTATGAAAGTGATTATAGTAATGCTGCTTTTTAATGTCCTTCCTGATGTCACACCTTGTCAGGGTTACTTTGGAATAGTGTTTAAGCCTTGGGTAGAGGAAATAGCTTGGAGACTGAGCTTACTCTTTTTTGATTCAAGCTAACACTTTGATCAGATCAGTGTCAGAGGGCTTAGTTCTCCACAGCCTTCAGAATGCCTCTACTAACACTGTTTCTTTCCTGCTTCACAGCCTCCACTGGTGAAGACTCAGACTGTCACCATCTCAGACACTGCCAATGCTGTGAAAAGTGAGATCCCCACCAAAGATGTCCCTATTGTCCACACTGAGACCAAGACCATCACGTATGAGGCTGCCCAGGTAGGACACCATTTGATGCTTCAGAACCAAAGGCTGGAGTAAATAAAATAAACCTTCTTTTTCACAGAGTTTCTAGTTGTTTAGTGCAAATAATGCCAGATTTGGAGGGGGACAATTCTTTTTAAAAGATATTACTGCCTGGGTGTGGTGGTGTAAGCCTATGATCCTAGCACTCGGGAGGCTGAAGCAGGAGGATCACTGCAAGTCTGAGGCCAGTGTAGGCTATTTAGTGAGTTCAAGGCCAGCCTGAATTATGTAGCAAGAAACTCTGTCTCAAAAAGCTAAAACACACACACACACACACACACACACAAAAGAAGAAAAGATTACTGATCTAAGGATATCCCAAAAATACCTTATAAAAGGCAAAATTGTCAGGGGTAGGGTATAGCTCAGGGGTAGAGCTCATACTTAACGTATTTGAATCCCTGAGTTCAGTCCCTAACACGGAGGGTGGGTGTGGGGTGGGGGACTATGTGAAAGATTGACTACAGTAACAGAGAAGTCCTCTCTGTGGAGGTGATGTTTGGTTGAGGCTTGAATGCTGGCAAGGAGGAGCTTTGGGAAGCTCTGGCTGAGTACTTTCACAAAGATCCTTTCAGGTAATCCTTGCCTCACCACACACTGGATGGCATTATCTCCATTTAGGAAAAGAGTAGCTTGGTGGTTAAAAGCATACTTTGCAATTAGCCAAATAGTATTTTTATGCATCCTAGCTCTGCCAGGCAGGTACTAGCTAGATAATTTTAGACAAACTGCAAGTCTCTCTAAAGTTCTGTTTCCTACCCACCACTGTAAGAGCTAGAGGAGGACCAGTGAATGATGTCTGTGAAGCACGTGGCATATTCGCAGACATTCCCTGGTGTGAGCATGCTGCCCAGGTCTCCCTCGTCGTGGTCTAGAGGGTGGGACTTCAGGGTGGTGAATGCGAGCGAAGTTACTTAAAAGGTTTTTAGTGGTGGTAATAAAGTGGCATAATTAAGCAGTGATTTTGTAAGATGTTCCCTAAAGCTGTGCGCTGAATATGTTGAGAGAAGGCCTGGAGACAAACAAGTGACTAGGAAGATGCTCATGTAGAACTGAAGTGTAGCCTTAGGAAATGAGAAGAAAGAGGTGTGTCAGGAGAAACAGAAATGAACAGGTAGGACTTGGCAGGGAAGGGGACTGAAAAGGAAGGAATAGAAAATCACTCTAAGATTGCATACAGTATTAGCCAGACAATATAGGAAGAATTACTAGCACATAGGAAGGAATCTCTTTAAATTTTCTCTACGATGAAAACAAACTCAATTTCCCTCAAAATTATGGAGCATCCAATTAAGATAATTCTGTGTGGCTTCTAGTGGGAACAATCTATGTGATAAATTTGTGAATGAACAAGCGTGGTGCAATATGGTGTGAATAACAGGCAACTGTTTATGGAAGGGGAGAGGGAGGTATTTATAGCTGTGTATGTAAGAGCTCAGTGTGTAGGCTTGGATAGCAAGATACTATCTCAGAATGGATATCAAAAAAGTAACAAGCAATATAGTGGCCTCTGATGAATGAGACTATAACTATGGGTTTTGGATCAGGAATGGAAAGAAAACTGACTTTTCACTATGCACGATTTCCAAGTTTTTAAATTTTGGCTGGGCATGGTGGTACATGCCTGTAATGCCTACACTTAGGAGGCTGAGGCAGGATGTGAGTTTGAGGCCAGTCTGGGCTCCATAGTGAATTCAAACCAGCTTGAACTATATAGCAAGACCCAAAAGAAAGGAATGGGGCAGGAAAAGGTGGGGAGGAAGCATATGCATATCAAAAAATTTAATTGTTCAAAAGAAATTGTTTTAATGGAAACAGCTTTTGTGTACAGAGAGGGGAGAGGGTCTTGAGGCCCAAGGCTTGTGGGGAGTAGGATCTGTCAGGTACAGGTGCACATTCCCTGTGATGAGTGTTATCATTATATATATCTAAAATGTAACAATAAATGTTTTACTAAAATAACAAAAACAAAACAGAGGGGGCCGAGGATGTAGCTCAGCAGCATAGCACCTGCCTGGCAAACATGAGGCCTTGAGTTCAATTCCTGGCACCAAGAAAAAGAGAAGCCATGCCAAAAAGAAAAAAAAAGAAATTGTTTTAAAAATGAGAGTCACCCTGCCCACAGAAGACTGCAGTTTGAGCGTAGCTCTTAAAAATGTAAGGAAAAGCAGTCACCTTAAAATATCCTATCATGAAAGAGAAGTATAAAGTTAGCAAGACGTGCTAGACAAAACACATGTCTTTGGAGTTAGGCTTGGGTCTCAGTTCTAACACTCACTAGTTTTGTGACCTCGGGCAAGTTGCTTAACCACTTTAAGCCTTAGTTTTATTTTCTGAAAAGTATTTTTATAGTTACTGAAATAAAGATAATGTTTGGTACATAGTACGTAGTAGGTATTAAAAAATGATAGCTGTTACTTTATTATATTGTTATGCATCTGACTTTATTTCATTTTCGCAAGCTTAAGGCAGCCAAGATATAAACTTTTTTGTTATTGATATTAGACAGTGATGTATAGTGGGGAAGAGTGTTGCTTATAGAGTAAGATTTCCTGGGTTTGAATTTGTTCCAGCCCTTACCAGTATGCAGTCTAGTTACTAAATTGTTGTGTCTCAATTTCCTCATTTGTAAAATGTAGACAGTAGTCCTACCTCATAGAGTTGTGAAGAATAAATTAGTTACTATACATCATATGTTTCCAAAAGTTCCTGGCACGTGATAAGCACCAGGTATTTCTTTGCTCTTGTACATAACATATGTATGTATGTATGTATTTACTGTAACCATTTCTGCTTTTGTTTTTATTACTACACCTGACAAATAAGCCCAGATACCATTTTCTTTTATTTGTTTGTAATCACACTTTGGATACATTGTAACAGTAGATAGGGAGCCAGAGTAGGTTTTCCATTTGTGCGCGTGTGCATATGTACGTGTGTTGAGATAAAATTTATACACAGCAAAATACACAGGTTTTAAGTATTCATCTTGATTGGCGTTGACATATGTTTTTACCTGTGTGACCAAGACTCTCTTAGGTTACAGAACATTTCAATCACTCCTGGTATTTTCTTTTATGCCCTTGTCCATTTGATCCTTAACCCTCTAGGCTACCACTCTTCTGATTTTTTATTTCTATCACTATATCCTCATTTTTCCTGGTTTTGGACTACATAAAAATGGAAGTATACTAGGCCAGGTGTGGTGGCGCACTCCTGTAATCCCAGCACTTGGGAGGCTGAGGCAGGAGGATCACTGTAAGTTCGAGGCCAGCCTGGGCTACATAGTGAGTTCCACATCAGTCTCAACTATACAGTGAGACCCTGTCTCCAAAAGACCAAAAAAAAAAAAAAAAAAAAAAAAAAAAAAAGGAAGTATACTTCTGTATCTTTCTCCTTTTTTTTTGGTACTGGGGATCAAACTTGGGTCCTTGTGCTTGCAAGGCAGGTGGCGGCACCACTAAGCTAAATCCCCGGCCCTGTGCCTGGCTTCTTGAACATAATGTTTAGATTCATTTCCATTATATGAATTAATAGTTCACCCTCACTGAATAATATTCCACTGTATGAGTATACCACAATTTTTAGCCTTTTATTTGTTGATGGAAAGTTGGATTAATTCCAGTTTGGAGCAAATATGAGTAAGCCTGCTGTGAACATTGATGTACAGTTCTTTTTTGTGTGCATTCCTCTTATTTTGGGCGAGCACCTAAGAATAGAATTTCAGGGTTGTATAATAATGGATGTTTATAAGCAGTTGTCAAAGCTATGGTACCATTTTGAGGATGTAGTAGTAAGTGAATAAAGGGGAAAAAAAAATCCCACCTGTGAAAAATAAAAGTAGACAACTAGGAAATGCACATCAAAACTGCATTGAAGGGCCAGGGATTTAGCTCAGTGGTGCCACCACCTTCCTCTCAAGCACCAGGTCCTGAGTTCAATCCCTGGTACCAAAAACAAAAAACAACAACAAAACTGCATTGAGATTCTACCTCACCTGAGTCAGAATGGCTAACATCAAGAATACAAAAACAATAAATGCTGGCAAGGATTTGGGAAAAGGCAGCCTTTCTACACTGTTGCTGTGGAAATCGGTATGGTAGTTGTTCAAAAAACTAAAAATAGAGTTACCATTTAATCTGGCTATACTACTCCTTGATATATATCTGCACTTGTTCTTAGCCGAAAGTCTGAGAAGTGATCCTTTGTTTACATCTGAAGGAATTAAATAAAGTCAGCACACCATAGGGACACCTGGAAACCCATTTTATTGTGTCACAATTCACAATAGTGAAAATACGGAACAAAGCTAGATGCCCATTAACAGATAAAGAATAGATAAAGAAAATATAATATTAACCTTGTATACAGAATGGAGTATTATTTACCCATAAAAAGAATGAAATTTTGTCATTTGCAGAAAAATGAATGGACATGGAGATCATTAGGTGAGCAAAATGAGCCAGACTCAGAAACAAATATCCTGTGTTCTCCCTATTATGTGGAACCTAGAAAAAGATGACAAGAAAGTATAATGGAGACTACTATTAGACATGAGGAAGGGAAGAAGGGGGAGAGGGAGGGGAACGTAAGGATGGATATATAGGGAGTGTGAATATTATCACAATTCCTTACACTGAAACCAAAGAAATGTGGAAGTGGGGGGAGGGGAGGGCAATCGGAGGACAGAGGTAGTGGTTCAAGTGTGTTAGGTCCATGTACCAATAAGCCAAAATGAGATCCATACTCTGTATGACCAGTAGCCACTAATCAAAATGTGGGGGCAGAAAGAGGTAGACAGCCGTACAGCATTTGTCCATCTTCACCTTCATCAGAGACAGAAAAGACAGTACCGGGTGGGTGGGAACAGAGACAGCCACAGGCCTGTAGAGGAGAATCTGCAAAAAGTTTCAGCCCTCCTGGAATGCAGGCTTATATCCTTAAAGCAAGTTATCCTTTTGTGTTTTATTTTGGTTTTTGTTGAGGCAGAATCTCAGGATGTAGTCCAGGTTGGCCTTGAACTCACTACGGAGGCCACACTGGCTTTGAACTCTCAGGGATGAGAGTGCTGTGACTACAGGAGTGCATCACCGTGCCTAACTATCTTACAGCAATGTATAAAGCACTTTCATTTTCATAGTTTCCTTGGATCTTCTCAGCAATGCTATGGTGTAGGCGGAACACCTATCACAATATTGTCTTTTTTTTTTTTTTTTTTTTTTTTGTACTGGGGATCCAACTCAGGACCTTGCTGCCTGAAAGGCAGGTGGTAGAACCACTGGGTTAAATGCCCAGCCCAGTATTGTCTTTTGTTTTATTTATGTATTCATTTATTTATTTGGTATCAGGAATCGAACTAGGGACTTTGAGCTTGTAAGGTAGGCGGCAGCACCACTGAGCTAAATCCCTGGCCCCAAGTATTGTCTTTTATAAATGAGAAAATTAAGTCTTAGATAACTCAAAACGATTTGCTCAAAGTCCCATGGCTGTTACATCTGAGCTGGGACACAAACTTCAGTCTGCAAACGTGAAGTTTCTTTCCTGGTCTGTGTCCTAGTTCAAACAGCTACTAGCTGTAGAACCTTGAACAAATTATTTAAATTTCTGGGTCCCGGTTTTCTTAATTGCACAGTGAGTATAATACTAGCGTATACCTCAGACACTGAGCAGTACCATTGAGTAGCAGTTGCATGACGTCCTTGACATGTATGAGGAGTGTAGGAAATGTTAGCTGAATCTAAGGAGGGTGAGTCGACTGGGTTAAAGAAAATATTAGTGAACTAGCTAATACTGCACCTGCTATGATGGTAGCATGTATATAAAACGTAGGTGTCACAATTAGTTCCCTCTTGGTTTTATCCAGACCTCCACCTGGAAGGGAACCCAGCCTAGGACTCTGTTACTTCCTGATTCTCTTCTCTTCCCTAATTCTCTTCTCCATCTGCCCCTCCTCCTACTATCTCAAAGTTTGGGCTGAATGAAATGTGATCCTGCTCATAAAAGCAAAGCTAGGCACACATAACTGTAGTCCCAGCTACTTGGGAGGCTGAAGTGAGAGGATCACATGAGCCCAGAAGCTTAGCACCAGCGTAGGCAACAAAGCAAGACGTCGTCTAAAAAAAAAGAGAAAAGAAAAGAAAAAGTTGGCAACCTCTGCTTATACTACAAATGACTTATATAAAGAAGCAGAGAACCAGGTGCAGGGTGGATGCCTGAAATTCCAGTGTGAAGGCCATTCAGGGAAACTTAGTAAGACCCTGTCTTAAAATAAAAAAGAGGGGCTGGGGATGTAACTTGGTGGCAGAACACACCTAAATCCAATCCCTAGTACCACCAAGAGGGGAGAAGAACAGAGAGAAAGATAGTCATTTAACACATTTTTGCTACAATTCTTTATGAAAATAATTGCAGTTCTCTAAATCCCCCCTTTAATGCCAGGTATTCTAGGTCACTGTTAACTGAAAAGTGTGTGGCCATGGGTGGAGTCCATCCTCCAAATCTGGTTTGTTTCCATCTTGGTCAGGGAGGCATCAGGCATCAGCAACTTTAACAGCACAGTGTTTTGTTGATAATTGTCAGGTGAGCTTGCTCCCTGCCAGCCATTGCTTTCCCTTTTTGCCAATGTTACTGCTCAGCCTGGCCAGAATATGTTGCTTTGGTCATGATACAGTGAGTTCTAGAGAAATGAATATTCCAGCCCCGCTTCTCTACATAGATTAGTTGTATAGCCTGGTGTTGTAAATACTTACAGAAATCTCACCTAATAAAGAGAGTCCTTTTCAATACTAATTTTGTTGTCAGAAATATTATTAAAGCATATTATGGATATTTTCTCGCACTTTCTCTTAAAAGATGATTTTTCCACTTCACTTGCTCCAGTTTTCCTTTCAATCTTTAAAAAAGATGGCCTGAAACTCTTTGACTCCTTAGCCCCAGTCCTTTCCTACTTCTTTCTGGAAAGTTTTATCCTATGATGTAGAACCTATCTGCGCCTTAGCAACTAAGAGTTTACAGCTTCCCTGCCTTGGATGATGTGTAAACACCAGATCTGTAGAGAGAAAACTGCCACTTGCTTGTTTTGAGTCCACAGGTTTTCAGTTCTGAGCCTGAGCTTTATTTTCTTTTCTTCCCCCTCATCCCCCAGAACTGAGGATTGAAAAACAGGATTCAAATCCAGGGCCTTATACATGCTAAGCAAGTGCTCTACCACTGGGCCATAACCTCAGCCCTCCTCCTCCTCCTCCTCCTCCTCCTCCTCTTCCTCTTCTTCCTCTCCCACCTTCCCCCCATACCTCCTTTCTCCTTCCTCCTTTTTTTTTTTTTTCTTTTGAGACAAGAGTCTTACTCTGTAGCTCAGACTGGCCTCCAACTTGCCATCCTCCTGCCTCAGCTTCAGAGTAACTGGGATTACAGGTGTGTGCCACCACACACAACTTAACCTGAGTTTTCTTAATGAAGGGTGATAAAATCCCTGCCCTTTTCTTAATTTCACAAGAGTGGCATAAGCATTAATAAAGAGGTTTAAAAGCCGTTTGTGAACTATAAAATGATGTGCATGTTTATGGATAGTGTCATTCTTGTAGAAACCATAGCTGATTCCCTGCCTTCTCTTTCTGAGCTACTCCCAGCACTGACCCAGGGTTAAGGAAATTGTACCCCTCCACCTTTTGTAGAAGGAGTCTCATTCCCAGGGGACTTGTTCTACTTGTGAAGAGGTCACTGGAAGGGAATTAGAGTTTTGCATTAGGACACAGAGCTGGAGAACAAATCTGTAGCTTGCGGCACTTGCCCACAAGGCTTCCTGCAAGGCAGAATGATGAGCTGTTCTCTCTTCTTCAGACTGATGACAGCAATGGAGACTTGGACCCAGGAGTCTTGTTGACGGCACAGACCATCACATCTGAAACCACAAGCAGCACCACCACAACTCAGATTACCAAGGTAAATGGAGCTTCCTTATGAAATCCAGCAGGGTGTTGAACTTGCTGCCACCCCTTGGAAAAAAGGACCCTGGTCCATAAGTGAAGGCTTCCAGCTCTACCCCTAAGTGAGCTAAATCTCAGGGTCCCAGTTAGCAGGGCCTGGCTGCTCTCCCAAGCAGTAAACCTAGGGAGACCATGAGAGTATCCTTGCCTATATTTAGTAGTGTCATAAATCCACATGTAGTCATTTTCTTCATACATCTTTCTGTTTTTCTGGATCTATGTGGCTGTGAAGGTAAGTGTAAAACTCCCCTTGGGACTGCCACAGTGGTGCCTGCCTGTTATCTCAGATACTCAGGAGGCTTAGCAAGAAGGACTATAAGTTCAAGGCCAGCTCTGACAACTTAGTAAGACCTTGTCTCAAAAAAATAAAAAGGACAAGGAATGTAACCTAGTGGTAGAGTGACCCTGGGTTCAATACCCAGTACCATAAAAAAAAATTTTTAAAAGTCCACTAGGAAGGGCCGGGGATTTAGCTCAGTGGTTTGGTGGCCTGCCTTGCAAGCGCAAGGACCCAAGTTCACTCCCCGGTACCAAAAAAAAAAAAAAAAAAAAAAAAAAAAAAAC